CAGTCCCCGGTGGCTCTTCCTCACTCAGAACCTCCCTCTCAGCAGCCCTCCATCTGCAACATCAAATCCATCCTTAAGGTTCTTGTCTCTCTGGGTCCTGATCTTTCTCAGCTGAGCTTAAGCTCTCCCTCCTCCCCCATCTTCCTATGGCAGGAACTACTTCCAAGTAGCTGGGCTCACTCTTGACTCCTTCCTCTCTTCCACACCCCAGATTTATCTAGCTACCAAATCCTGCTTTGTCTGCACAGAAAATTTCTTCCAGAGGCACCTCCTTCTTTCCTCCCCCACTGCCACTTTCCTGGTTCTGTCCTCATCATCCCTCATGTGGACACTGTATCAGCTTCCTCATGGCTGACCCCCTCACCTTCTGGTTCTTTGGTGTACCCCCACCACCATAGCCATAATCATCCATTAAAATGTTCACAAAATCATGTCATTTCCCTGCTTAAAACTCTCTCATGGTGTCCCACTGTTCTTGAGTCAAATTCCATAATTCTTGCCAGGGGCTGCAAGGCCCTGTGTGGCCTGGCCCTGTGTGGCCTGGCCCTGCACCTCTTCACCTCATCACCATATCCTCTTCCTCATTCACTGTGTACCTGCTGAACAGGCTGATTTTCAGTTCCTGGAATTTTCATGTTGCTTGCTGCTTTAGGGCCACCACCTCTTCTGTTCACACTGCCTGGAATGCTTTTCTCCACATCTTTTGCATCCTGAATACTGTGCTGAATTACAAAGTAAATGTTACCTCCTTGGGACAGATTTTTGCAATGTGCCACCATCCATTTAAGCTCCTTTATCTATTCTATTTTTTTTTTTTTTTTTTTTTTTGGTACTGAGGATTGAACCCAGGGATGCTTAGCCACGGAGCCACATCCTCAGCCCTGTTTTATGTTTTATCTAGAGACATGGTCTCACTGAGTTTCTTAGGGCCTCGCTAACTTGCTGAGGCTGGCTTTGAAATCATGATCCTCCTGTCTCAGCCTCCCAAGTCGCTAGGATTACAGGCATGTGCCACTGTGCCTGGGTCCTTCACCTGTTCTTTAGCATTTCCTGGATACTGACTGAGGGATGGACTAGCAGATATTTTATCTGCATGTCTTCCCCCCCACACCATGAGCTCCTTGAGTGCAGTCAGGTCTAGCTCATTTCTGGGTCCTCTGCTCCCAGCACAGGGCTCAGAACCCAGAAACATGTAGGAAATGTATGGAATAAGGAACTGGAGAAGGGTTGGCTTACTTTGAGGCAGGACCAGATGGGGTCAGAAGGAGTCTAGTTCCTTGCTGAACATCCAGAAACTGGCTCTAAGAGCTGTCAGAGTTGGGTGGGGGCTGTGGAGGATTCCAGTGTTCCTGAGTGGACAGAGTGGCTATTCCTGTTGTCCACTGGATGATGGGGAGGCTTCCAAAGTCTAAAAGGAGGTCCATGGCAGAGCAGAGAGAGAACAAGCTGTGGGGAGAATGGACCCAGATTTGAATTCATACTCTACCACTCACACGCAATGTGACTTAGGTCAGATGACTCTACTCTCTGAACCCCACCAACAAAATGGGGGATGATAACAAACCTTACCTCTTCAGACTGTTGTGAAGGTTTAGGAATAATTTATTGGTTCAAATAGCACAGAATAGACAGTGATGCTGCTGCTACTGCTAGTGTTGATGACGATAGTGAGGAGGAAAAGGTAAAGAAATATTTTGAGTCCCTGGATGCTGGTCGATTCATATGGGACTTGACTTTGACTTGGGGCTGTTGAAGAAATAGTCCTGAGGGAACCTCAGATCCAGGGGGTGAGGTAGCATGTCAATAGGAAGTAGTTCTGAGCCCAGAAAATAGGAAAGTGGGCAAGAGATGGGCAAGCACTGCCTGCGGTGGGCCAGAGCTGAGGCTGGGCATGGTTTGAGGGTCACTGAGGCCCCTGACGGACCGCCTGGCCTGCAGCAGGGTTGGCCACACTTCTCTTTGTGGGTTTGTCTGCCATTCCTACCATCCTTGTTTTCCTGCCCATGTAGGTCTCTAAGCCAGCTCTCACTATCCCTCGGAGGCTGTCCCTGGCCTGGACTCTGCTGAAGGCCAATGTGCTTAGATGCAGAAGGGAGGCCAGGCAGAGAAAAATTGGTGCTAATGAATCTGGGGCCCAGGTTCACTTCCAAGTCCAGTCATGGACTCAGAATATGGCCTGTGACTTAGTTTCCCTGTCTCCCACCAGGCAAGGGTTCTGAGGTGCCCCTCTGAACTCCCACATGCTAGAACCCTACAGATGAGGCCAGCATCTATGGGGAAAGGCCCTTTGGGTCTCCACATAGAGCAGGGATGAGGCTGAAGGCTGAGCAGAAAAACTGCTAAAGATAACAGGAGTCCAGAGAGATACTGGGGAACTGAGCCACAGAGAGTGTCCCCAGGGGTGGCCAGGAGGAATAGGCCATGGCAGGGGGGCCCTAAGGGGTGAAGAATCTCTCTCTGCTGTCCCCGGTGGGCTGGCTGCTGCCCCCCCACTCTCCAGCGGGCCCCCGGGGGACCTCGCTCTAATAATGTATTTGATCGACTCGCCAGCCGCGTACAAGCGATTATTGTCTTGTCGGGAGTCAAACGTATCGATCCGGCGAGAAATATGAGCGGAGCAATGGGGCCCGCGTGTCAGTTACCAGCCCCGCTGGCCCTGGGGAGCCCCCTACGTCTCCTTTAATTACCGCTCAGCCCTGAGCCCAGCCTGGCCTCCCCTGTGCCGCCTCCCTGCAGGCTCCCTACACCTCGAGTGGCCCCCACTGCTCCCCAGTGCCTGTGTCCTACCTGCCTTGTTCAGCTTGGCTTGAGTCCCCTTCTCTGTCAGGGAGGCCACCATCTCCCCCTGCCTAGGTCTCTCCATTCCCAGCTGTCAAGTCCTACCTACCTACTGTGTCCCAAATTCTGCCCCTCTGTTCTCTCTTGGGCAGGCCCACCCCAGGTCGCCTCATTCAGGCCCAGGGATTGAGCTCTGGTCTGAGGCAATAACAGTAAAGCCAACAGGACAGGAGTGGTGATTTCATCCCCCGAGGGAGCAAGTAAGGCCTTCCCAGCTCCTGGACTCCCCTTCAGACTTGGGAGCACTGCCCTAGAAGTGGGTGGTCCTCTCCTTGCTCCACTTAAGGGGCTGGCCTGGAGTCATGTGTAAAAGTGTGCTTCTCACTTTGATGAAGCTGAATATGTTCAGGGTGGAGCATAGGGGTGTCCAGTGTATTTTGCCCCATTAATGTCATATGACCCCCATTTCCAACCCCCCCAAACATAAATCCTAAGTGAAAATCAGAGCTCACTGGGCAAATGCAGCTCTAAGACAAGGCTCCAGTAGCCCACTGCCACCAGACTGCTATCTGAAAGACCTTCATGTGTAGAACCCTGCAGCCAGACGCTGTGTGGTCTGTGGGTGTCCTCTGTGCAATGGCCTTGACGGTATGGAATGTTGTGGAGTGTAGGAGCCTAGAAACTGTCCTCCCTGTGCAGATGGGAGAACTGTGGTCATCGCTGTCATGCCCAGCTGCCTGCCCAGGTGTATCCAGGTGACTGGCCATGTGCAGATGGGGAGGGCACCCATGTAGTTGTGCTTGTCTATCACATCCCTTGTGGGTGTGCATGTGTGTGAATGTAGATACACGTAGCCAGACCTGGACTGGTCATATGTGTAGATGTGACCTTGTGCCCAAGGGTCCACATTGAGGAGTAGAAGAAGGTGTCTGTATAAGGGAGTGACCATGGTCAGGAGGGAGGACTGGGGCCATGTGCACAGAGATATGTTCATAGGAGTCTGTGTGTGTGTTTGAAGTGCTAGGGTCCACGTGTAGAAACACTTTCGTGTATGTGTAGGTCTGGGTGAGTCCAAACGTGTGTTTACCGACGTGTGGTTTGGGGGGCCCCCACAGCGTGGGGCACAGCGTGTCCCGGGGAGTCCCGGGCCGCAGGAGAGGTATTTGGAGGCGCCTTGCGATTTTGCATCCTCGGACCCTGTACGTCGAGATAAGGAAGAGGCCCGAGGCTTTGGCGCGCCTTTGTCTGCTCCGCGGTACGCGGGGAGTCCTGCGCCTTTGTGTGACCCTCGCAGGTGTGCGCGCGGGGGCGGGGGCAGGGTGGGGAGACCGCGAGGGGAGGGGAGGGAGGGGCTCTTCCTCCGCAGCCAGCCCCGCCCTCCAGCCCATTGGCGGGGCGCTGCCGCCCTCTGGCGGTCACGGAGGTAGGCACTAGGCTGCGAGCTCCGCAGCGCGCAGGGCCAGCCCTCAGGCTCCAGAGCACTGAGCGGGCTCCTCCACCACACAGCCTTGGACGTCCGCATTTGCCTCCTGACCGACTTCTTACCGGCCCAGACTAAGACCCGACTCTCCGCCGGTGCTGCCACTCCCCACAGGCACTATTTCTTCCCACTAGTGACCCTGGATGGCTTACCTGTGCACAGGTGCAGGGTTTGGTCATCCCCAGTGTCCTGTTTTTTGGCTTCATCGCTTTTTGACCTTGGGCCCCTTCAGAAAGCTGCTTTTCACCTTTCTGATCCTCAGTCTTTTCGTCTGTAAAACGGGACAAATAACTATGCCCGCTGCTCCAGAAGACTCCTGTCAAGTATGATGCGCGAGGCCAGGCACTGGGAAGATCCGCCCCCAATAAACTGCCAGCTAGGGTTTGTTATTGCTGTTATTGCTACCAGCCTACCTTCTCTCCCAGACCCATGTCTCCTGTTCCCCATGGGGGTCAGTGAGAGGGCTGAGGTCACTGTTGTAGGCATCTCCCGGGGTTGCAGCCCCAGGAGTCAACTCTTCCAGCCTGCTTTCTTTCCATCTCACTAACTCCCACCCCCCAAACACGCACACACATGATTTGGGGTCAGCTAGGCTGCTGGAGCAGGTCTGTGGGCCAGGGTATTTTCCCTTCCGAAGGGGGCGGACCAGCCCTGTGGTTTCCTCCCTGGGTGACTTCCGGCAAGGAGGGCTGGCCCCCAGAGAGGGCGGGGAGATGACACAGTTGTTCCCCCAGCCCTGGTGGGGCGGGCAGTATGGTTCACTCCAGCATGGGGGCTCCAGGTAAGGGGCAGGTGCCTATGCACTGGGGGGAAGGACAGGTTGAGCACATTTGGGTTTGTTGTGCTGGCAACTCCGCTGACCCCCCTGCCATCCCTTCTTAGCTCTCTCTTTTGTCCTGCTCTGTACTCCAGCTATTCCCCCTCTTCCCAGGCTGGCTCCCCGCCACACACACACACACACACACACACACACACACACACACTCACTCCCTGGCTCCTTTTCCTCCCTTTTCACAGCAGGCATTGAAGCTTCCAACCTTTGTCCCCATGTCTATTGCCCTGTTCTAAGGGGTCTCTGGGAGGAAGGGACAGAGCCAGGTGTTAGTAGTGAGACGGTGTATGGAAAACCAGTGGGGTGGGCGATGTGGGTGATACTTGGGTGGGGCTGGTAAGGGGTTGGCAGGCTAAGTTGCTGGACTTGGGTATTGCCATTCTTTTGAGCGTATGTATGCATCTGTGTACAGGTCCTGGTGTATCTGTATATGTGTGTGCAGTAGTTCTGAATCTTCTGAGGGTGGTTCTTATGAGCACATTAGCAAGTGTATGAGCTGGTGTAGGGGGCTATGTGTGGCATTGTAAGGTGGCCTTGGCAATGCTCTCTTGACTTACTTCTTTCCCCTCAGCTGTCACCGCCTCAGAGGTCTGATATCCCTGTGTAAATTAGCAATAAGCCTCTCTCAGTCCCCTCACCTGCCTTTTCTTTTCTTCATAGCACTTATTGATGCCTGAAATTTCATTATATATTTGTGTACTTATTAAATGCCTCCTCCACCAGATGTCAGTTGCCTAAGTGAACTCTGTGTGCCAGGCACTGTATAATATGATTTATATTTGTTAGTTCACTGAGTAGAATGCACATATCTCGGCACAGTGAGGATTATCACTTGACAGTATTGATGGGAATGTTAAATGAGATGACATGTGTAATATGCTTAGCATAGTGCCTGGAATGTGGCAAGTACTTGGTACTTCATGATTCTTTCATTTGTGGCTGTATGGGCATGACTGTGGGTATGTCACGTTTCTGGGTGTCTGTGGGTGTGAATCTTGGCTTGATGTATGTCCTCCTATGTGCACCAGTGTATGTGGGAATCACTGTGATCCTTTACCAACACATATTTATTGAGTGGTTCTGTTCTGGGTGTTGGAAATACAAGTGAAAAAGGCAGCTTCATGTCTGCCCTCCTGGAGCCCCAAGTTCAGTGGAGAAGACAGACCTGTCACCAGTGATCCTACAGAATGATCAAGGCAGGAATTGGGGAGGCATGGGGGTAGTAGGAGGCCAGAAAATATCCAGTTCAGCTAGTGCAGGGTCAGAGAGTGCTTTCTAGAGGAGGGGACTGTCTGAGCTGGGATATGAAGTATGAATTGGTGTGAGCAGGGCCCAGGAGGTAAGGAGGGGGTGGGACGGGAGAAAGATGTTTCTTTTTTTTTTCTTCCTTTTTTTTTTTTTGAGGGGGTACCAGAAATTGTACCCAGAGTGCTTAACCACTGAGCCACATCCCCATTCCTTTTTAAATTTTAATCTTCAGACAGGGTCTCATTAAGTTGCTTAGGGCCTTGTGAAGTTGCCGAGGCTGACTTTGAACTTGTGATCCTCCTGCCTCGGCCTCCCAAGCTACTGGAATTACAGGTGTGTGCCACCGTGCCTGGTAAAGGAGGAAGACTATTTAAAGGATGGCATGTGTTTATTGACTGCATAGTCAGCTGTGTATGTGTGTGTGTGTTTGTGTGCCTGTGTATTGTGGACACAAGATTCATAGTGTCTTCACATGCACGGTATCTATTCCACCACTGACTCGTCTCTGTCAGGGACCAAATGAGGACTGCATAGGTGATATGCAGCAAGTTAGACTCTTTACTTGCAATTTTTCACAAAACAGCCCTACCTGGGTGGACTGGCCTGGATTTTCCCTGCCCAGACATGAATTAATACATTGTGCAGCCTTTGACAGATTCCTCATCCTACATGGACTCTCACTTCACATCTGTGAACTGGCCCAGGGGTCTGCTCTGGTCATCTTGTCCAAAATGAAGTGACTCTGTATATGTGAGTGTGTGCATGTTTGGGCATGTCTATGTGTGCATCTGTGACTTGCGTGTGCATATCTATCTATCTCCGTGAGGCTCTGGGCATCATGCACATCCATGTGTGTGTGTGACTCTGGGTACGACCGTGTATAAGTGTGTAACATCTGGGTATATGTTTTGCATAACTTCCCCTGGCATCACAACTAGGCATCTGTCTTTATCAGCAGACCTGTGAACATTCCTGTCTGGAATCTGTGCACACCTCTGTCTTGTGTGTGTTGGCCAGGCCCTGCTTGGCTGTGGCTGTGTTGTGTGATGTGGAGTTCTTGCCTATTGTTGGCACAGCTGGAGGCCACCTCTCTTGTTGTGTCTGCTGCCTGCATGGCTATCCCTCCCTCTTGACAGCTCAGAAATGCTCACTCCCTTGAGGCCACCAGGGACAGCTGTGGGGTTGGGGGAGGGTGGGAGGTGCTGCTCCTGGGGAGGCCGGGGGCTGGGCCAGCTGGACCCACAGAGGTTCCCGGCAGCATCAACCCTGCCCACAGGGGCTCCCAGGGCATAGCTAGTATCAAGGCGGGCTGTAGAGGCAGAGGACCCAGGGGACAGGCCAAGCGGGGCCAGGAAGGGTGAGGGGCAGTCCTTGGGCCCTCTATATTTAGCCTTATTTTCGGTAAGTGCTTAACGAGAAGCTCGCCTAAGTCTGCTAAAACTGGCTGGGGGAAATGCAGAGGAGAAGTGAAAGTCCGGGGAGGGAGGGTCGGGGAGGGTGGAAGGGACCCAGAGTCCCAGGCCTAGGGCAGTGGATGAACTCAGGGCAGGGCAGCCCTGGGTGGATCTGGCCTAAGAGTGGTGGGATTCAAGGTGTGGCTCTAAGGGGCCTAGTCATGCATTGCTATTGGTGTCCAGTTCCTCCAAAAAATTACACACTCCTTGGAAAGTCAGAGAGGGTCATAATCCTAAGTAACCAACCAACTTTTCTATTCAAGTGAAACTTAGAGAGGGACTTCTGGAGATGCCAGGGCACTGGAGCATATCAGAATCATTGGGAGCACATGGTGTGTGTGTGTGTTTAAATCAGATGGCATGTCACACCTTGTTCCATTAAAACCAGTTGGCTGGGCACAATGGCACATGCTTGTAATCCTAGGGGAACAGGAGACTGAGGCAGGAGGATCACAAGTTCAAAGCCAGCTTCAGCAACAGCGAGGTGCTAAGCTAAGCAACTCAGTGAGACCCTGTCTCTAAATAAAACGTAAAAAGGGGGCTGGGGATATAGTTAAGTGGTTAAGCTCCCCCTGGGCTCAATCCCCCAAACCAAAAAAAAAAAAAAAAAAAAAAACTCAAACAAAAAAAGCGGCACCAGAATTTTCATAAAGTCAAGGGCAGGGCATGAAGCATTCCTGCCTGGGCAGAGGTTGAAGCAAAGTCTTCCATGGCCTCTCCAGGTCCCTGGTCCCTGATGGACGATGCCCTGGAGTCCTTGTCCACGCATCATTTAGCTTTTGGTGCATGGTAAAAATGGAGCCCCTATTCAGCCTTGATAGGAATGACTTTACCCTTCCCTTGAATTGCACTCTGATAAGGGAGAAAGGATGATCGAGAGATAGCTTGGCACCTATAATCCCAAGCGGCTCGAGAGGCTGAGGCAAGAGGATCGTGTGTTCAAAGCTAGTCTCAGCAACTTAGCAAGACCCTAACCAACTCAGAGAGACCCTGTCTCTAAATAAAATATTAAAAAGGACTGAGGATGTGGCTTAGCGGCTCAGTTTCCCTGGGTTCAATCCCCAGTACAAAAGAGAGAGAGACACCTTGGCCAAGGGAAGTACTTAATTTGCTATGCCCCGGCCAAGGACTGGGTGGTGAGTACTGGGGCCTCGTGGGAGTAGTCTAGAAAATTTAGGGAGAATGAAGGAAACTGAATGGAGGACATTTTCCCTCAAACTGCTTTTGCCTTTAGCTGCTAACCCTGCGGAGTGAATCTTAACTTAAAAGTTTAGGCAGAATTGCTTTGGAGCTGGGGGCAGAGGATTGAGGTGTCGTCAGGTGACAGCAAAGACAGGGTCTTGCTTGGACAGCATGGGGAATCCTCTCAGGCTTTCACTCATTTCAAAGACACAGCCTGAGTCCTGCACAGCAGTGATTCCAACCTGGGTCCTCAAGGAACCCACAGTCAAGGGGTGGGAACAGAGTCACTGGGGGAACCTACATGAAAGAGACACTGACAGCCTGGGGGTGAGGGATGACTTCATATAGGAGGGGATTCGTGAGCCAGGCCTTGAAGAGGGGCAGGAGCGCAGTAGAGCAGGAAAGGGTCCCTGTAGGAAAGAGCAGAGGGAAAGGTCTGAAGGAGGGAGGTCAGGACCCGGCCATCTTTGGCTGTCAACCTGCATGTCCTCTGCTGGGCAGTGGAGGGCCCCAAGATCAGACCTGCTCTGATGGGAAAGACACATGGGGGACTGGAAGGCTACAGCCTCTGAGCCAGTGACGGGAGATGCCGGGGCAAGGAAAGCCAGGGCAAAAGCAGCAGGGCAAGATCCCCGGCTTCCTAGAGGGCAGTCCTGAAGGATAAGTAGGAGGTGGACAGAGTGGGGGACAGCATTCCAGGCAGAGGGACCAGCACATACCAAGGACTTAGGGAATATTTGTTAAATGGCAGGGAAACAGCAGGGCAGGGTAGGAACAAGTAGGAGTCAGCAGAAGTTGCGGGGAGGGGTGTTCTGCAAACACATCACTGGTTCTGGGCTGGTGAGGCTGGAGACCCAGCCATGAGTCAGATAGGCCTGTCCCCGGGTCTGATGAAGAAGACACCACAGCCCTGGGGGATTGAGGAAGGGGGTGTGAGAGGATGAATTAATTTGCTAGGGCTGTCATAACGAAGTACCGTAGACTAGATGACTAAAACAACAGAAATTTATTTTCTTGAAATTCTGGAAATTAGAAGCCGGAGATCAAGGTGTTGGTAAGGTTGGTTTCTTTGAGGCCTACTTCCTTGGCTTGTAGGTGACAGTCTTCTCTGTGTCTTTTCTCTGTGAGTCTGTGTCCCAATTTTCTCTTTTTATAAGGACACCAGTCAGATTGGATTGGGGCCCACCCTAATAGCCTCATTCTTACCTTACTTACGTCTGTAAAGACTTGATCTCCAAATGCAGTTACATTTGGAGGTACTGGGATTTAGAATTCATCATACGAATTTGGGAGGACAGATTCACTCCACAGCAAAGGAGTTTCTGTGGTGGTGGGCTGGAGGCTGCTCCATCTGTGGACAGGAGAGCTGGCATTTGCCAGCCAGGCAGGGGTATAGCACCTGCAAGATCTGCACTCCTCGTCAAGCAGAGCCCCCAAACAGAGGGAGATGCTGGGTGGGGTGTCAAAGAGCAGGATGCATGAATGGTAAGGATGAACTGTCGAGGGTAGTAGGCTGCACCCTGAAGTCTGGCCGAGGGGCCTGGACTTTTCTTAAGGAAAAAGGTTTAGAGCCAGGGAGAGCTGGGTGTAGGAAGGATTGCTGGAGGAAGGGGGCCGGGGGTGGGGGGGCTTAGGCTTGGCCCTGTGATGGTTAGTGGTTGCCTGGAATAGCGCTAAGGTTTTCCTGAGTAGGAGCTAGGATCAGGCCTTTGCTGCCCGAGTCGGAGCAGCCCCAACCCATCTCTCTTTACATCTTCCTGGATTTCTAACGATCATTAGGCATTCAGTGCTCCATCTCCAGTGCCCAGAAATGGAACTTGAGCCCCCATAGCATTCTGAGCACTGTCCTCCCCCACCCTCCCAGCCTACACCTTTATAGGACTATGTGCCTTTTTTAAACCTTTATTTTTTTTCTTTTTGTTAAAACATAATGTATATACAGTAAAGTACTCAACTTTTAAGTGTGAAGCTTGATGAATTTTGTCCTGTGTATTGATCCTACGGGCTTCCTCATGGTCGACACTCCCCAGAGGTACTTACTAGTCTAGCCTCGATCATTCGAGATCAGCTTGCTTGAGTTTTGAACTCCATGTATTAGAATTAGCACTTGTATGTCTGCCTTTGTTTGGCCACTTTCACTCGGCCCGTGAGAGTCAGGAGTGTGCATGAAGCAGGAGCTTGTTCTTTTTCATTGCTGTGACTGTTTCATTGTATGGATGTACCACATTGTGTTTATCTGTTCACCCATTGATGGGCTCTTGGGTTCTTTCCAGTATGGGGCCATTATGAAAAGTATGCGGAAACATTTGTGCCTGTGCCCTTTAGTGGCAGGATGTGCGTTTCTCTTGGGTGGATGCCCAGGAGTGGATGTGCTGGGTCATGGCGTGGGGGGGGCAGGTGCAAGGGAACTGTCTCTTCAGTTTTCCTGAATAGTGCTTGTATCAATTTACACTCCCACCAGCAATTCATGACGTGGCTTTTGAATTAAGATTCTAAAAGAATCTGAAACACAAGCAGCAGTTCACACAGAGTAATCCACAATTGCAAAATCCCCAGACTCTCCCCTGAGTGCCTATTGCTGAGTTCTTCCCAGTCCTCACTGTAGCAGGCCTTCTTTAAATATCTTGGGTGCAGATCACACTCGAGTTGGACAGCTCCTTTGATTGGGGTGGGGTCATAGTTTAGGTGGGGGTTTTGGAATGAGCTGTGGGGCGTGAGTAAGGGCTGAGGACAGTTGAGAGTTAAGGTCAGATGAAGAACTTGGATCATCTGGGCATAAGCTGGGATCAGGGTGAATAAGGGTACTGGGAATGGGTAAGGCTGAACCCCAGATTTGTGTTGGGGTCCAGGGGTAGGAAGGGTAGGAGTTGGTATCAGGATGAGCTTGAATTAGCAATTGTTGGAGATAAGATTCGTGCAGAGATGGGGCCCATTAGGTTGGAGTGATCCAGATTAGACACAGGAACCCTGGAGACATTAAGATCTGGGCCCAATCAGGGCACTTCTTTGCCTTACCATGCTCTTGCAGAGGTGAGACCACTTTTGGAGCCTCAGTTCCCTCCTCTATGAAATGGGGTGACATCAACATCAACTGTTCATGTAAGCTCACTCCTATTTAGCTTCCTGCTTGGTGGGTGAGCACTCACCTTTCCACGGTTGGTGTCGGTGCAGAGAGTTCCCGCAATTTTTCCATTCATTTGTTCCCCTGGTGCCCAACTTGCTGCTTGCCACCTTTCTCTGGTCACCTCCTCCTATTTGTAGGATGGACTTGAGAATGCAGCTGGGAATCAAGCTGAAGTCTGGGTAGAGTCTAGGGTTAGACTGGAGGACATAGCAGGGACAGGGGCAGAGGGCGTTAAGGTTAGAGAGCAGCAGAGTGAGGTCCTGAAGCTTCTGCTTTGCACACAAGAAGGCCAGTGGGAGTGACGTATGTCAGGAAAATTGGTGGGCCAAAGGGTGGCTTAATCACACCCTGAGATCTGACAACTCTCTCCTTTGGGGGTGCTGCAGCCCCATCACATCTCCTAGGCCCCATTCAGAGTGGAAAACATGTCTCACCCGAAACCTGGTGGGGCAGAATGGGAGCCTGGGCGGTCCTCCTGGGGAGGAGGCCAAGGTCGCACTTGCTCCTGGAACACCAGCAACCTCTTCCCGGGCAGCTGACACCTTCTTGTGACCACCTTCTACCTCCCACCCTGCCCCAGTGTTTCACGGTGGGTGACATCCCTGCGCTGCTTTTTAGAGGGGAGAAAGCTTAAGTCAAGATTCCTTCAAGGCCTGAGGGCCCCCTCTTGTCCTGCCAGAGGAGGGCAGAGGCTCAGAACAGAGGATACCTCTCAAAATGTGACACTTCAAAGGTGGCAGTGGGTGGAGGGGATTTGGAAGGGGCTCGAAGGTTGGAAGGGCCCAGGAGCCCTCTAGGCTTCCTCTCCTTCACCCCATTTTCATCCCTTCTCTGTCCCCAGAAATAAGAATGTCTAAGCCCCTGGAGGCCGAGAAGCAAGGTCTGGACTCCCCGTCAGAGCACACAGGTGGGTGGGGAGGGGCAGGGTCACAGTGGGCAGAGAAGTGTGGCAGATGGGAAGACCACAGAAGGGACAGGTGTGGTGGGGGTGGCTGAAGACAGCACATCCTTTCCCTCTCTTCACAGACACTGAAAGAAATGGACCAGACACTAACCATCAGGTCAGGAGGGAGTGGATTAGAGGGAGGTGGGCAGAGGGAGGAGGGAGTAGAGGGACCTTTGTGCAGCCACAGAAGGGGCAGGAGCCTGAAGCCGCTTCATCGCACTATTCCCACCCCCTGACCCATCTTTCTCTTTGCAGAACCCCCAAAATAAGGCCTCCTCGTTCTCTGTGTCTCCAACTGGCCCCAGCACCAAGGTAAGCACCTGTTAGAACATCCAGGAAAGGGGACTGTGTTTAGGAGAGGGTCTTTGACAGTCAGCCATAGGCCCCAATATCTGAGAGAACACCCAGTGACAAGGCTTCTCCCGCCCCTTCTCACCCTGGGTTCCCGCCCCAGGCCTGTGACTCACCAGAGCTCCTTCCCCTTCCCTAGGGGGTGGGGGTGGCCAGGGAAATCCCCCCCAGAGCCCCAGGGCAATGAACAACAGGAAGCCAAGGCCCCACCCCCATCCCGACTTCCCTGACCAAAGGGGCCTGCACCACCCCTGTCCCCCAACACACACACACACACACACACACACACACACACACACACACGTACCTGTTGGGGTTGCCGGAGTTGGAAGTCCCGGTGACTCTACAGCTCTGGGAATTCAGGAGGAGAGATGATGGGGAAGCCAGAAGCAGCCAGTTCCAGATCCAGATGGGGCCCCATACTGAGCACTGCTAGGCTTCTAGGGGCTTTCTTCAGCCCAAGTCTCCTCTCTCTAGCCTGGGCGGGGGTGGGGGGGGAGCGGGGTGGCTCTGGGGCACAGAAGGCAGGTCCAGAGACCTGAGGAGAGCACCATAGGTGGGGTCAGAGAGGACATGGGCAAGACTGCTGACACTGAGCAGAGGTGGCCAAGGAACAGGATAGGAGGCTAAGACATGTTTCCCACCCAGCTGCAACTTTGCTCTGTGACCAGGGGAAAGTTACTCCTCTCTTTGGACTTCTAAGTGTCTTCTTCTTCAATATGGTGTGTGTGTGTGKGGGGGGGGGGTTAGGGACTGTAGAATTGGATGACCCCTGAAGTCCCTTCCACATCTGGTCTATTCCCACGTTGCCGTGGGAGGACAAAGTGCTTTGTGAGCAGGTGTCTTCTCTTCTGTACTGAGCACTTCAAACCAGGTTCCACTCTTGCCTCCTGATCTCAGGCTTGGCCCTTGCCTCATCCCTGGGGTGACTGCCCATTGCTCCCACTCCCTCATCAGCTCAATTAGACCTTTGCAGTCTCCTTCACTCCTCAGCAGCTTTCTTTCTCGCAGGAAAGCCAGTGAGGCCAAGGGAAGAAAGGGTTTTTCCTCCCATTCCCAGGCCTGGGTTCTGTCCACCCCTCACTCTGTTTCTCTAGTCCTGGCCTTTGCCTCTCAACCTCTTTCCGACTCTTCTGGGCCTGTCTTTTCCCATCGGCAGTGATTCACATGCTACTGTCATGGTTTCAGACATATCCACATACCACCATGTAAAATTATTTACATAATAATTTTGTTAATTGTCTCAATGTTTAAAAACACTTTGCTGTGGAAAATGTGAAGCAGATACAAAAACAGACAGAAGGGTATAATGAAAATAACACCCCCCAGGATCTCATCAATCAACCTCAACAATCATCAACTCATGAACTGCCTTGTGTTTTCAACAGCTTGAATAAATGGTTTTTAAATGGAAATTTCATGAATGGAAAACTAGAGTCACTTGCCATGGAAATAAATACAATGATTATTAAAATTTACCCACAGTCTCTTTATGTGCTGAAGGGTCTAAGCCTGAGGCCTGTTCTCCATTAGCTAAAAGGAGAAATCGGCCAGCCTTGGAGAGATGTTTAAGACCTCCTCACATCGGAGTCTTTCTTAAGACAACCAAAAAGAATGAAAAAACACACACACAAAAGGAATGGTTTTCTCATTACAGCATTCAATATTATTTTTTAAAAGCTTCTTATTAAAATATGATGCCCATCAAAATATACATAGATCCTCGGCTTACGACTGAATTTTCACAAACTGAGCACACCCATGATGCTAGGAGTAGCAATCAGATCAAGAAGCAGAAAGAGACCAGCCTTCCAGAGGTCCTTAATATCTTCCATTTCCCTGACTTCTTATACTCAGTGTCGTTTCATGCTGCATCTCTCTTAGCTCTAAAACTTCCTGAACTTGGGTCCTATAATTTGGAACATGATATCTGTCACTTGGCCTTTCCTGAGCCTTTGTCTTTCTGTTCGTCTTTCCTTCATTCCGAAGATCACCACCCCCTCAACCCTCCCACCATGCCAATCTGCCTGTTTCACCTTGCACAAGTTGCTTTCCCTCTCTGGATCTCCTTTTGCAAATTAGTGCTTGGATGGTGGGCTGAAGGATGGTCCCTAATGTCTGCTCTTGACTTGAGAGTGTGACCATCAAGCCATGCCTTCTCGTGTCTCAGCAGCCCTTCAACCAACAGCCTCTGTTATGTGTCTTTGTGTTGAGGAGAGGAAGAAGGCCAGGGCAACTCTCTGCTGGTCTGTTCTAACTGCATGGTACAAGATTCATTCATCTCATGGTTAGGAGTTTGGAGGGATTCATAGACCTCTGGTACAGAGGCTGGAACCTGGCAGACCTTGGGCCATATTTGGTTAATCCACTGCACAGAACCAGCCTGGGTGTGTTTTTCTTGTCCTGTGGTGTTTCTGTTCCAGATTCTGAAATGGGACTGGCCAATGGGAGCAGAATAGTTGCTGGGTAGGCCTCCTCTTCTGGTGGGCATGTACTCTTCAGCTCACCCTGTCCACACCTGCCTGTGTCACCCACTTGTGCTGTTTGTCTTCATAATCCTTTGAGTTTGTGGCCCAGGTTAAAATACCCTGAGATCCTGCTTTCCAACCAAGTCTTATTCCATTGGACAAATAAGAGATACACTTCTCTTTTTAAATATTTTTCTTTAGCCTGGAGTTGTGGCTCAGGGGCAGAGCACTTGCCTCTCACATGTGAGGCACTGCGTTAGATCCTCAGCACCACATAAAAATAAACAAAAAACAAAATAAAGATATTAAAATATATATATATATATATATATATATATATATATATATATATATGTTGTAGATGGACAGAATACCTTTATTTTATTTATTTATTTTTATGTGGTGCTGAGGATCGGACCCAGTGCCTTACACATGCTAGGCAAGTGCTTCGCCACTGAGCCACAAGCCCAACCCTAAGAGATGCTCTTCTAACTGATGCAGATGAAGAGGATCTCATCCTGATATCGACTCCTACCCTTCCTACCCCTGGACACCCACTAATTTGACCATACAGATTCCCAGTGGCACCATTTCCCAAACGGGGACACTGACTCCCAGGAGGAGAAAGATGCTCTCTGAAGGTGGCCTCTCCTATAGGGAGCTTGGATGCAGGTGGTGAGCTAGCCCTTCTGGATTGATAAGGAAGTCGAGCGAGGCCAGAGCAGCTCCTTCTGTGCCAGCCTGAGGCTGTCATTGCCACAAATATGCGCTCTCTTTGGTCCACAGGTGGGCATTCTCTCTGGCCTCCACTTAACATTCTGGGGTCCCGGACCCTGCCTCTCTCCTCCCCAGATCAAGGCTGAAGATCCCAGTGGTGACTCAGCTCCCGCAGTGCCCCCGCCTCCCCAGCCGGCTCAGCCTCATCTACCCCAGGCCCAACTCATGCTGACGGGCAGCCAGCTAGCTGGGGTAAGTAACTGGGGAGGGACCGGGATGAAGGCACAGACCAACTCCTCCCATCTGTTGCAGGACTCGTGGAGGAGGAGCCCCAACAAGGCCATAGCCTCTCATGCCTGCCTCCTGCCCTCGGAAGACTTGTCCTCACCTGCTTGGCTCAGGCTCTAACCCCTCTCTGCCTTCTCTGCTCCCTTGCCCTCTTCGCCCTGCTGCCCACCCACCTGTAGCTCACAGCACTGATGCCAGCTCAGCAGCAGCTCCTCCTGCAGCAAGCCCAGGCCCAGCTGCTGGCCGCCGCCGTACAGCAGTCCAGCGCCGCTGCTGCTGCTAATGCCGCCGCCGCTGCCGCCGCCTCCTCCTCTACTTCTTCCTCCTCCTCCTCTTCTGCCTCCTCCTCAACTTCGCAGCCCCCAGCCTCCTCTGGGGGAGGCGACCTGCCACCACCACAGCCTGCCAGCCAGCCCCCTGGGACCCCACAGCTCACCTTGTCCCAACCCATCCAGCTCACAGCACAGGTAAGGGTGGCCACCAGGGACCATACTCCCTCTAGCAAAGGACAAGCAGAAGCAGTGAGTGTGCAGGGAGGGCTGACTGGTCCATGTGGGGCCTTCTGACCACCAGCCATATGCTAGGCAGTTTTCAGTAATCCTAGGAAGCCTTGGGAGATGTTGCTATCCTATCTTACAGATGGGTAAAATGAGGCTCACAAGGGGGAGTATCCCACGTAATAGCCTTTCACCTGATGGTATGCTGAGCTAAATGCTTTCTGTGCATCTCCCTAGGGCCCAGAGCCTCCTAGATATCATTAGTTTCAACTGAACAGGTGAGGAAACCAGAGTCATCACCATGAGTGGTACCTGTGTGGGCACAAGCAGATCAGAATTAGTGCCTCCAAGATGTTCTTTCAGAAAGGATGTCCATGATCTGTGAGTTAGGAAATGTTAGCTCCTCTCTCCCCCTTCTGGAGTTTATGGGTATATACTGAACCATGAATTAGTGGTTGTATTAGTTTCCTAGGGCTGCCACAAAAAAATGCTATCAAGTAGGTGTCTTCGAACAATAGAAACCAGGTATGATGACACATGCCTATAATCCCAGTGACTCAGGAGGCTGGGCAGGAAGATCACAAGTTTGAGGACAACCTGGGCAACTTAGCGAGGCCCTAAGTAATTTTACAAGACCCTGTCTCAAAAAATAAAAATGGCTGGGGATGCTCCTGGGTTCAATCCCTGGTACCAAAAAAACAAAAACACAATAACCCCTCCTAAAAACAGCAGAAATGTATTATCTCAGACCATAAGTTCAAAGTTAAGGTATCAGCAGGGCCATGCTCCCTCTGCAGTCTCTAGGGGAAAATCGCTCCTTGTCTTTTTTAGCTTCTGGTGGTGCCAGCAATCCTTGGTGTTCCAAGAATGGATGGCTCCAAACTCTGCCTCTGTTGACATATGGCCTGCTCTTTGTGTCTGCCTCTGTATCTAAATCTCTTTCTTTCTTTCTTTTTTCTTCTTCTTGTGGTGCTGGGAATTGAACCCAGGGCCTTGGGCATGAGAGGCAAGCATTCTACCAACTGAGCTATATCCCAGCCCTAAATTTCTTTCTTATAAGACAAGAGTCATTGTACTAGAGTCTACCATAATGATATTATTATTACTAGGAATTGAACCCAGGGGTGCTTAACCACGGAGCCACATCCCCAGCCTTTTTCATTTTATTATTTTGAGTCAAGGTCATGCTAATTTGCTGAGGCTGGCTTTGAACTCATGATCCTCCTGCCTCAGCTTCCCAAGTCACTGGAATTACAAGCATGTACCACTGCACTGGGCTCTGACCTCATTTTAACTTGATTAATCCTGCAAAGACCTTGTTTTCAAATAATGCTATATTTGGGGTACCAGAAATTAGGATTTCACCCTATCTTTGGGGGGTACACAGTCTAACTTGACAGTGGTTAATAAATTTCCCATAAGGATAGTCAGCTGCAAAAGGAGCAAAGTAGGAGCCTAGTCGGATTCCCCTTCAGACTGACACGTTCTCTCCAGTACATTTGCCCACGTCACCCGTTTGTGCTGTCTGTGTAGTTTCCACCAGCACTTGAGTTTGTGCTGCTCATTAAGGGGGGGAAGATCCTGAGAAATCCTGCAACAAAGACACCTGCTTCACCTCCTTAGCCTAGAGGTCCAAAGCGTTTCTCTTACTCCATCCACCATCTTTTCAGGACCCCCTGGTGGCAGATGTTGGCTACCCTGAAAGGCTTTTTCCCTTTTTATTTTTATTTATTTATTTATTTGCTCATGCATATATTTATTTATTTATTTATTTATTGGTACTGGAGCTTGAACCCAGGGGCACCCCACCACACTGAATCCCCAGTCCTTTTATTCATTTATTTTTTTATTTTGAGACAGGGTCTCGCTAAGTTGCTGAAAGTCTCACTAAGTTGCTGAGGCTGGCCTCCAACTTGCCTCCTGCCTCAGCCTCCCAAGGCGCTGGGATTACAGGTGTGCACCAAAGTCTATTCCCTTGATGGAGTTCATCCCTCTGTTAACTGACTGATGCTCCCATCTGGAATTTGCCTGAACACTGAACTGATACCTGCCTTCTTTAGAATAGGCTGCTCCTGGGCCTGATTCTGCAGGGAAACTCAGAGCCACCGGGCCTCACTGCTCTACGATGACTCTTGCTGTGTAGCCTTCCACTACCTGGCTCACCATAGAACAATAGCTGTGGTCTAGTCTTCTGGGTGCTGCCTTTGTACCAGGCACTGTGCCAGCAGTGACTTCTGAACTCATGCAGCCTCACTTCACCTGAGCTCCCAGTGGCAAAATGACATTCCCCGGGTCACACAGTTAACAGAAGTGGCAGAACTGGTTAGGAAGCCAGTGGTGCTGGGAATTGAACCCAGGGCCTTGGGAGCCTAGGGCTCTAACCACATGGCCTCTGACTGCTGCCTTTAGCTGTCTTCCTTGGACATGTCCTTCACGGCCCCTCCCACCCAGGTCACCAGCAGCAGGTGTTCCATTTGCCTCATAGTACATGGCCAAGGGCTCTTTACTTAGCAATGCCAAGCCCTTGGGGCTCCTCACTGGGCTGGGCAGCCCCTGCTCCCATTCTCCTTTCTACCTAGAATTGTTCCCTTTCTTTACCTGGACAGCTACTCTTCATCCATTAGTACATGTCTCCATGAGGTCTGTGTGGATTTCCCTCCCTCCTGCTGTCTGAATATGCCTAAGGAAATGTCTGTCAGAGGGACAAAGGCTAGAGGAAGGAGGAGGGCGAAAGGCAGGCAACCTGGTGCAGGCCTAGCCAGGCCATCACCCCATTAGCAGCCAACACTCCATGCGTTCGTGCACCCCTAGGAACTCCCAACCCCCTGACTGCCCAGCAGCAGGCCAACCCTCTGCCACCTGCTGTCCAGCCAGTCCCTGGTTGCTAAGGTCTCCTTGAATCTCTCCCTGCAAGCCCTTTCCTCTTACTTCTACCTCCCCAGCATCCTCACCCCTGGTCTTTCTGTGTGTGTCCTCAGCTTGTGCAAAGCTGGACCAAATTTGTTTTCTAGGGATTCTTTCTCATAGGCTGAGTTACCTTGTGGCCCCAATTTCCCATCAGTAGTTTATTCTGTACCGTCCGGGTGCTCGACACCTCGCAGGGCCCAGAGGCAGCTCCGCCTGCCCCAGCTGCCCACTGCTCCAGCCCTCCCAGCCAGCTCCTGGGCCTCCATCTCCCCATCCTCCACTTCTCTTGCCTGCTCAGCTCCATTCTTTCAGTCATTTCACAGATATTTCCTGGCCTTCTGAGAGTCAGGCCCTAGCAGGAAGCTGAAGACTTAGTAGTGAGTCCCAGTCATCCTTGCTCCTCAGGAAAGATGTAGTGAAACAGGCACATCAACCATTGAGAAGTTTTATTTACAGATATTAAGAAGCCCAGAAAAGAGAGTCAAAAGCACCCATAGAACTAGGGTGTAGCTCAGTGGTAGAGCACTTGCCCAGCATGTGTGAAGCCCTGGGTTCAAACCCAGCACTGGGGATGAGGGGGAAGCATTTATAAACTCTGTCACTCCAGAATTATATAAAGTATGAAGGCGCAATCCTCCTTCCATAGTGCCAGTTAGACAGTTTGGCAGGATCCTTCCCTGCAATTTCCTGGCTTACAGATGAAAGGTTGATTATAATATTGTTTTATAATTTGACCAACGTTCAGTGAGGGGTATTCAATCTGGGGCAACATGAATGCTTATGGAATCAATGAAGGACGTTTTGCTGCAGTTTTTTGATCTCTCCAGGGGAGTGTTTCAGAATGTCTGGGATAGGAGTTGGCACTGATTGAAAACTTACATTAATCATTAACTGTTAAAATATTATTCTGTATTTGGAAAGTGTGAGTGTCAGGGAAGCAGGCGTAGAATCCCTATTTTCCTAGTAGAACCACAGGAAGTAAAGGTTACCCAAATCTTTTAGGCTGGTAATGCCTAGTGAATAAAGGTTTCCCAGGGACACCCACAGGATGTGGTGGGAATGTGGGAGAAGGAATGTGCATGTGTCCAAGGGAATCTGGCAGGCTTTCAAGAGGAGGCAGTATCTGAACTGAGGGGAGGAGTGTGTTGATGAGTTGGAGGAAGGGCTTCCACACAGTGGGAAGAGCCAGTCGTGAGAATGTAGGACAGGCTTAGGGACCTGGGGAGGGTGACAGCGAAGAATAAGCTGGGAGGGGGCTCCAAATAGGCCAAGGCTCAACTCAAGGTAGCTGAAGAAGAAATGGAAATATTTGACTCAGATCATTGAAAACACCTGCCCTGGAATATCATGCCTAGCTCCAGAGATCTGTCTTCTTGTTTCATTCTGGGGCAATCAAAGTGGCACCAGCACTTCCAGACTTCCAGACTTCCTGCCCTGAAGGATCCGACACATCCACTGGTCAGGTTTGAGTGGTCACCCAATCCCTGGAGAAGGCAGGATCAGCCCCATCTGGCCCTCATGACTTGAGCATCGGGGAGACAAGTTCCCACAGGAAAGAGA